GACGTAGTATAATATATCATAAAGCTGTGAATACAATACAAAATGAGAAAATACAATTTCTTTTAATGTGATACAACCAAGTGTAGCATATTAAAATATCTTATTATACTATAACATAGTAGGTCAGAAAAAAACAAAAGCTACTGAAGTTTATATGATATGTCATTATACAGTATAATATACTATCCTAGAAAAAAACAGAATAGAACAGAATAGATTATCAACACATAGTACCAGTGCAATGTCAATGAATTAGACAATGTACGACTGATGCTACAAGATTACTGTTTTGCTTCGTAGTAGAAGGAAAACTTTATAATAGCTTCTTACGAGAACATACCAGTAGTAACAGGATTACATTACAGTTACATTGAACATATTCTTGTAGTATGAACATAATTCGAAATTAGTAACGTAATCATGTAAAGTCCATACAAGTTTAGTTTAGTTTAGTATAAATATACTAGTACAAACATAATATAAAAAAGCATAACACAAATATGCTATAAACCAATACAGTACGAACGAAGTGTGTTTCAATATGGCAAATCCGATCTGATCACATTTAATGTAATCTTTCCGCAAGATGTACGAAAAGAGTTGTGGCTTTTGGTAAGTGGGCGTATAAGCTCTTAACTCCAAGCAAAGCACATAATATAACCCACCGTACCAAGTCCCCTGATCCCCTGATCCGTGGGGGGATGTAGAAGAGTTGAGACTTGAGAGCCTTTTGAATTTCGGCTAGGTTCAGGGAGCTGTTAAGCGAGGTGCATGGACTGGCTGATGAGACAGTTTACTCCAATTGCCTACATACCGCCGGCAGCACTCAGGGCCTCCATGGCCCCGGTCCACCCTCCCCGCACCCCACTGCACCCCCACTAGACCAAAACAAGACTACAAAGCAAAGCACAAGGTAAAAACTGATACCCTTCCCTCGAAAACCGCCGAGGACTTGCGCATCGTGGGCAGCTAGCCACGATCGGCATTTACAAACGGCCAATGTCTTGCTTCAATTGAGTAGCTTCGCCAGTCTTCACTGTGCCTTGACCTGGTGATTCTGAAATAGCCTGCCAGTTGCAATTGCCACAGCGGCTCAAGAGAAGGATGCAGAGGAAGCTAAAGTACTGTGCAAGTTGCAAGTTATAGGCTCCAAGCAATGAAAGATCATCTAAAACTCCAAGCACTACATACAAACGAACCGTTCCAGCAGCTTCCCTCAAGCCCCCAATTCCAAATGCGCACGACGCCGTGGCTGGAGCAGTTGCCACCACTGAGCATGCACGGCATTGTGTGTGAGCTTCGAGTGGCACAAAGGCACGGGACTGTGGCGGGAAAGTGTTCTGTTTGAAGGAGGACGGCCGAATCCCAGCCAATTTGGGGGAGCATAATTCGGACAGGCCATATGGACTGCGCTGGGAGGAGGAGTCGTACCCCAAAGTGCGAACGGCTCTGTGGCGGGAGCACGACTGTCAAAATTGAAACGCCGAGATATCGAGACCACACCAGGACCCCAGAGCGACTTGAAGGCCACAACCGAAAGGGAATGTGGCATGAGCACGTGAGCATGATGGGAACGCAAAAACAACCCTTCAATGGACACGCACACACACCCCACTGCGGCTGGAGCGCGACTCATCAAGTTCAAAGTGTCGACGTGTTTACATTCGGCGTCCGCGCCGTAACGCGGCAAGAATGCAACTGAAGTCTAAAATGTCGACAGCGGCAGCCATGGAACGGCACTGCGCACCTACGGCGAGAGCCTCGCGACGACAGCAACCTTCTTCCTCTGTGCTGATCGTAAGAACTAAGAACCGCATAGCGCTGTCACACTGCCTGGAGTTTGCCAAGGCTTCCTCGCGATTCATGGTCACGAAATATGTCGCTGGACTTATGTTAACCCGTAAGTTAACCCATGCAATGTAGCTTCAGCGAATCTATGGCAGCCTTCTAGCTGATTCGACCCTCAGTTCACTGAGCACTCAAGATGTAGAAGTATCTGATTCTCGACTTGGTATATCTTCAACATGTCCTTTGTATGTCCCATGTTTCGGTGAAGTCTTCGACGATGCTAAGATGAATCTACCCTGTTTGCATGGCCTCGACACGATAGCCGAAGCTTGTAGCGGCAAGCTTCAGCCCATGACCTGACATTGACATGACTTAGGTCATACCGTCAGCAGCCGTAGCCCAGTCCAGTGGCATGTGCCTCCAGCATCAAGCCTCAGCTTCCACCTGAGCGCAGATGTTATTCGAACATATTGAACTCCAACATGCAAAACGATGCACATTGGGGGTCAAGGACGAGGCTCTCGGGTTGAGGAGTTGAGCTTGGGTGCTTTGGGGCTCAGGCTTAGGGATTCACGTTTTAACGCAGAGAGCGAGGCTTGGGGTTTTCGGCTTCGAATTTACAATAATCCCATTAAACATCCCCCACAGCGGAATGGCTGTCGTTGGGTTCACATTATAGGGCGCCAAGGCCTCCTAAGCGCAGCCCTGGTTTCAACAAATCTCGAGCTCAATGCTGTCCCTACACCCGAAAATACAGCCACCTAGAAACTGCTCGAATCAGTTCCCGGAGCTCCGAGCAAGCCCAAATGCATTTTCCAATGGCCTGCTAAACGCATTCGGCCCTAGTTTCGGCAAATTCGCCGAACATGCTTTCGGTTGTTCTGATTCAGCAGCGACCCATACGCTGCTCAAGTCGAACTGTCGGAGCGTGCACAAACCCAATTGCATTTTCCGAGGCCTGTTAAACGCATTCGGCCCTGGATTCAAATCTTGTGTTCAATGCCCGGCCGGGCATGGACAACCTATCTACAGCTCGGCTGGCTCCTTGGAAACCAAACTACGCATTTGCAGTGCCACTTCCGGGCTTAGGGACGGCATTGAGCTCCAGCTCTGTTGAAACGAGGGTCAAATGCGTTTAGCAAGACTTGGACAATGCAAACAGTCAAAGCCGCGGCAGTGGAGCCAAGGGAAAGCTGAAACAGCTTTGAATGCGTTTTCCAAGCCTTGAAAAATGCTTTTGGAGCCTTGGAAACCAAATTCAAGCATGTTCGGCGCGATTTTCGTGGTGTAGGGACGGCATTGAGCTCCGGATTTGTTGAAAAACGAATTTGGCATTGGTTTCAACTATTTGGAACGAGGGCCAAATGCGTTTAGCAAGCCTTGGAAAATGCATTTAGGCTTGGTTGGGGGCTTCGAGAGCTCGATTTGGGCCAGCAAAGCTCAAACAGCTCTAAATGCATTTTCCAAGCCTTGAGACATGCAATTTTTACCAAACTGAAGCATTTTCAATACGATTTTCGTGCTTAGGGACGGCATTGAGCTTAGGGCTTCAGATTTGTTGGACAACGAGGGCCACTCGTGTTTAGCAGGCATTGTCAAAACCCGCCCCAGAACCCACCCCGGAACCTGCCCCAGGCCTTGCCCCAATCTGCCCCAAACCTATTTCGGCTGAAGACCCCAGAGCTCACGCTGTTGGAGGAAAATTTGGGCTTGGTTATTGTTTCCGGGTTCACCGTTTCGGGGTTTGGGTTGGGGGTCCAGGCTTCCGGGTTTGGACAGGGTTTGGGGTTGCTTTCCGACTTGGAATTCGGTATTTAGACTTGGATGTGCTGAGAGGCTGAGCGAGAAGCGAAAGAAGGCACTGTTGACAAGGAAAAGCGCAGCTAAAAACCAAAGCTGCAATGTAACGACAAACCGGAGAAACACAGCAAACACAACCCGTAAGACACAATTAATGCACTTGCTCAATAAAACGCATGATATCATGTTTGCAAAGGCTAACGATGTCAGTCTGCACGCGCGGGAGAGTGACCAGCGCGATGCGACGGGAGTGCATGGTGTTGCTCCAAATGCGTTTGCGCCTCACCGCTGTGGCGTCATATCGACTCTTGCCGACATCTTGCATTCCCAATCTGCCGGTGCCGATACTCGGAGTTGTTGGCCGTGAACTTGGACGGTCTCTTCCCGCACTCGACCACTCACTCGCTCTGTTGTGTGCAACTTAACATCAGGGGGAACCAAGATAGCGGTGACCCGGTTTAGCATACAGATTTTGGCATTTGACCATGGAGATTCGGGACACGAAAGGCAGGATACGCCTTAGCTTCATCTGTGATCCATGTTTTCCATCGCTCACTCGCAAACGAGACTTGCTGAGATTAGTCTACTCAGCCTATTCGACAGTGACGAGGTGAGGATGCAGCGGTTTCGCAACCGAAACGCAACTGCAACCACTAAAGCCAGCAGAAAGTCGCAATGCAAATCCGTGTCAAACTACAAAAAGAGCGATTAAATGAATTGTGCTAAGCACCTCGGCCAAGTCGGCTTGCTTGTCTCGGTCATGCGTCATTTAAGCTGAGTGACTACCACAGTACTTGCTGAGCCACTGTCGCAGCGAGGACCAATTTCGTGGTCCAAAGCGCTCCTGGTGGCGATGTGCTTCAAGCGATCGGGAAGCCTCTCGATTATGTTGTAGAACTGGGCACGTGGCTGCCAGCAGCTCTGAGAGGACCTGGCGCTGTCTTACCCTAGCGGCCCGAGCTTTCCCAAGCGTAACACCTACATAAAGCTGAAATGTGCAGGCTATTCGGCTTGTACTCAATACTTGTGTTGAAAGGGATGCAGGGCAGGATCTGACGACCTCATCTCTCGCTCGGAGCCCAGAACATCAGCAGAGTCAGGTCCCGCAGGGTCCCCGACCTCCAGAGCCTGCTCGGCCATGGGCCGGCCATCGACGGAAGGAAGTACTTTGAAGCGCTTTGTTCCACGTGGCACGCCATCTGAAACCACAAACGTAGTACGAGTGGCTCACAAAACTCTACAGGACTGTTCCCGTCTCTGTTGTCAAGCCCCTCGTGAATGTCGCAGAGCTGCGGAGCAGATGGCAGGGCCGACAGAGCTTCCAGTGCTTGCCTTCTGCTGGCTTTAATTGCAGGCTTTCTTCTTCCGATTTAACTTTCTAAATGTTACTCCCTTGCGTCTGAGGTTGACGCTGCTCCCTTCGCCACAGGCAGGCGTCCCTGGCCTTTAGCAGCCGTTCTGCCACGACGTACCTGCGCAGAATATTGCAAGTACAGGACTGCGAAATTTTTGTGGCTTCTGTGCCGGCATGTTGGTGAGCTGCAATACCACGCTTCTCACAAAATGAGAGCCTCCCCATTCCCCCCCCCCCCACCGCTAAAGCATTCACACACGATATGCGTAGGTCTGGCTCACAGGGCACCTCCTGAGCTTGTCGGACCGTGCTCGGGCTTCGAAAGGCACGTCGTCAATGGGCACTTCCACCTCTCAAAAGTTACGCCAATGATGTTCATGCCGTCGGACAAAGGGAACTGCAAACGCTTCGAGCAATCTTCAGGAATTTGATACTGTGCTCTAGCGTCATCAATGAGTCATCAACATATGCCGAGCCTGCGGCAGAGAGCAGGCACGGGAGCACAGCACATCTGCTGCCGCATGCAGATCTGGAAACTCGGCGCGCAACGCCTCACAAAACCCGTGACATGAGGCTATAGCCGACTCTCGGAAAGCCCACGACGACTCTCCAAGATGCGTTGGAGCAATAAAAAATCCCTCTCCTGGGCAACCTCTCGGCGCGTCGGCCACGAACAAGCCATCCGAAAGGATGCAAGCAGAAGATCTAACATGCTGTGCAGCCACTGCTGTGCCGGCGTCATTGCTTCCATCAGCCTGCCAGAAGCAATACACTTGATCTGCTGCTGACAGGCGAGGGCACTGCGACTCCTCCCACTCTTCAGATCGCCAAGGTACACCATGACGACTTACAAACAACGGGCCAAATCAAACGATGCATAATTATGTCCAACTTGCTGTTGATACGAACAGAAACAAGTTTGACTTCTTGACTTGTCGGGAAAGCAGTGGGATACTGCATGTGCTGTTGTACGGCATAACGTTCATAAACACGCCACCGAGGAGGCCTGTACTCCGCTGCAAGCTGAAACAGACAAGACGAGTGGCACTGTAGCAACAACCGAAGGCTGCCAAAAGATCTTAAATTTCATCATCCCACCGAAAGAACGCTCTGGACCCGCGATATTGTTTAACCCAAGAAGAATGGATGTACAGGAAACCAGGAACCAGCATATGCAGTCACCTGGAGGAGACGCTGGCAGAACTCCTCAATTTGTCCAGCGAGACGCAAGCGCACGTCACGCTCTCGGCTCAACACTGCCTGCCCGCGAGCTGGTGAAGCAGACAGCGTCCCCCAAACAGTGTCTTTGCTTTAAGTTCAGCAAAAGGATTGAAATCGGTCGGCCTGCTTGAGACTCTCGACGGAGTTGAGATGATTCCGCAACACCTCGCAAGCATTGTCTTCAGAAGTCAAGCACATATGGAACAGAGATGACAGGAGATCACAGGCTTTAAATCCACTGGGACCAGTAGTCGCGACGACATGTCTCGGCTTTCAGTCCCCGGGCTCGCCACTCGTGGGCGACGGATGGAGAAATGGTCGCAAGATGTCGCAAGACCGAAGAAGAGACAAACTGCCAGCCGGTAGCCGGGTCTCGGACCTCGAAGTCTTCGAGCGCCTCGCGCTCAGCCTTGGCCACACGAGGCCCGAGCCCCCAAAACCTGTGGCCTCCCCTGCTCATCTCATTTTGCCCAGTGCTCGCTTGCAACCCATCACCCCAACATAACCGAGCTTAAGCACAGACTGAGTTCTCACTGAGGCAGAACATGTTCAGCATGAGCGATAGTACATGTGGCTCTGCACGAACACAGATCAAAGCGAGGGAGCGTGAAAAGCAACGATGCAGCAACAAGACATTTGTGAACAGTGAAGGCCAGACGGGGACAAAGAGCGAGATAGAGAGCAATCTTGGAAGTTTGCCTCGGCACAGCGCTGCCGAAGTTCCCCAGATCGTGCTTCGATAGCCTGCACAGAAGAACGCGGGGCTGTGAGGCCGCGAGGCCATGCAGCTCTAGAGCACCCGCAAAGCTTTGCTGCGCGTGAAATGCGTCCTGGATGGCGGAGTCCAAGTCTCTGCGGCGGGCCCTGAGTTCTGGCAGCAGCTGGCGTGCACCCTGGCTCGGGCTCGGAAGTTTCGGGCTACACGCACATGGCGACCGCAGCTGCCACGGAAATCTGGCCTGCAGTTTGGAGCGGAAGTCCTGCTCTGCAGCGTGGATTGACAGGATTGGACGAGTCGGTACGGCTGGATGCTGCCAGGAAAGGCCGTCCTGATGCTGAAGTTGCTCTCGCGTGAAGTCACGGCCTGATAGCTCCTTGGATCTCGACAGATTGGACAACTTCTGAAACCATTCCCATTGAGCGTGTTTGCTCTGCACACAGAATTGTTGCCAAGTGGCCGCTTGCACCTTGACATGGGATACATAGTGGGCATGTCAGAACTTGTTTACAAGCCGATGCACCTCTACTGACTTGGAGGTCGCGGATGGCTTGGAAACCTTCTGAGGTGCTTCAGGTTCACGTGGCGAATCACTCTTCGAACCTGTGCGATGACTCAAATTGAAACAGTGCCTGCAAAAGTGCATTATGCTCCAGTGTCTAGTGCTTCGGCAACTCCCGCCTGGTGGCAGTGCTCCGGCACCGGGTGCACTGGACCTTCAAAGAACAATTTCCGGCCCACAGCACAGACTTCTTTTGACCAAGATGTCTCTAGCTGGAATGGTGGATATGCCATGATATGCCAAGAGCATACCAGTTTGAGCTAAACGTGCGACCTGCTATTGCTACAGGCCGAAAGACTCAGCTTGCATCATGAGATGGAGCTGACTCCGACAATGTGCGGCCAGGGGGCCTTCGTGCTGGCACTTGCAGCCTTCCGTGGAGACTTCTATGCACACATGGCAACTTAAGCTAAAGTAATAACGAAAAAACTCACAACTTTGCCGATGAGTTTCTAGGTTGTTCGGCGGAGGGGCTTCCAGCGAGCATCACTTAGACTTATTCCCGTGGCCATGAGTCTCGACCGCGTATTGTGGCCGATGCCTGTTAGTTGTGCATGAAGTTGGCTGATGCGGCCAGCTTACTGTGCAGGAGGCGCAGGAGGCTGCAAAGGTGTACTCCACATGTCCCTCATCTCACGCATCAGGTCGTAGAAAGGCCGTGCCTCACAGAGATGCAGATACTTCCCCAGCCGAATCCACTCTTTTCAAGCCTCGCTTGGGCGGACTGCAGGAGAAGCAGAACGACGAGGAGAAGCCTCGCGGACCTCAGGTCCGGAAGCCATCCAAACCCACAAGCAGAGTGTGCTGAGTGCCGCACTGGAGGCACCGACTGGATAGTGCCCTGCACGACCCAACGCCTTCGGCGGCGCAGTGCATCAATGTGACGTGCACCGTGACTGCGAGCGGAAGTCTTGCCAATGATGTAAAGATTCCACGCACTCCCGTGTGCTTTCTGCAGCTTGCGGAAACGGACCATCATAGCAACATGTCAAGATGACCTCTTTTAATAAGGAGCCTGTCTTCGGCTGTTTCCATGGAAGCCGGCATATCAGGAGCCATCGCCCCAGAGCTCATCTGGCCTGAGCGTGATGAGCGAAAGGCCGGCCAGTCTTGAAATTCTTAGATCCATGCACTATCATGCACTGCTGTCCCTCCTCGCCTGATGCTTTGGCCACACAAGGCTGGCTCGATGGTGCGCTGATCGGCAAGCTGGTTGCCAGGTCCCTCTGCACGTCCTTTCCCAAGATTGGTCCCAGACCTGCAAGGAAGCTCGCATGAGACCAGTGAAAGCTCTGCTTTCAAGAGACCGCCTGGAAGCTCCGGTCGAGAGTTTGCACGCGATGGAGGAAGCAAAGGACGTTGTTCCCATGGCTGTGGAGCCCTCGGACGAGTCCCGACGCGTTCTTTGTCACAGTGGCATATGCGGCGCGCGCGCCTGCTGCGTGAAGAGGAGGAGTCTCGTATCTCGTTTGACCTTGCTTCAGGCATTCTATGCGGCAGATAGCAGCTAGTAGGACAACGCAGAGGCATAACCCGTCCGTGGCCTTCCCGCTCTTTCCTGGCAGGAGAAGTTCCCGGCCTGTCGTCATAGACTAACCGTCTACGCTGCCGGCTGCGGGAAAACCGATTGCAAGGCCCTCCAAGAGCTGTCCTCTCCGCACGATTGCCCAACTTGCCCAGCAACTGCAACAAGCATATTCAAACATGTCATGAACCACGTTGCGTTGCTTTCATGTCGCAATGGAATTGTGCAGGCCTTGCTGCGGCTGCTCAGACTCATGAAGGTCGGCCACTGCGGCATTCGAAACTTGTCCTGTCGCGGACATGGCGATGCCAACAACTTATCGGAATAGCGAACAACTTGAAACATAGTTTCAATATGTGCATTCAAGTCGCGGCTTTGCGAACCATGGCCAGCAATGCCGTTTGTAGGTAAACCTTGGTTTTGAGGACTGTTCATCCCCCTGCCATTTCATTCCGCTGCCATCTCCCTCCCTCCCTCCTTCCCTCCCTCTCTTCCCTTCCCTCCCTCCCTCCCTCCCTCTCCCTGCCTCCCTCCTGCCCCTCCGTGAGGCCTGAGCATGGCTGTGAGCACGCAGCTGCCTTGCTGAGCAGCTGCCTGTAGCTTGCCAAAGAGGCCCCGATACGAAAAAGCTCGTCGGCGTTGTTTTTCATGACCAAAGCCAGCAAAGGCGGGCAGGGGAACTAAGCGACGGTAGCCTTCTCGGAAACCTGTTCTTTGACCCACTTGACGAAGCTGTCCCAAACTTTGGTCCTCCGCTGGTGTTCGGATCGACCAGCTCTATGTCGAAAAGCGAGGGTCATGTTGGGGCTGTTGGTGTACCCAATGAATGCGGTCCTTTAGGGCCACTCTTTTGGCTTTGTTGCGTAGCGTTTTGGCGTTGTGGTCTTGTGTGGCTGCCGCGTTGCGCGCTTCTGTCAGCGCTGTAAGCGTTGCCTCTCTTATCCAGGGGGTGCATTTCATAAAGAGGTGGAACTTGAAGGTTTGCACCACCTCGTTATGCATTGCCGATTCGAGTTGCTCAAATGTGGTCTGGTTTTCCCTGCTCTCTTCGATGGGCGGGGCTGGCTTTTCGTTGCCTTCCGTTCCCCTGCGCGTCTTGACTGAAAGTGAATTTGGCGAGAAGGTTGGCGAAGTAGCCCCCTTAAGTAATTGATGAGGTTGCGGTGTGTTTTGGGTCTGCACCTGCTGGTGAGAACGTCGATGGACCATTGGCTGTCGGACTTGATCGTAGTCTTTGAGTAATTAGTTCTGTTCTACGGCGCAAAAATTCGCTTTTGCGATGGCGGTGAGTTCTCCTGTGTTGTTAGAGCCGACCATGGTCCCTATGAAAACGGCGTGGTCCGGAGAGGTGATTACTGGTCGCTTTGCTTCCTCCCAGTTATCATCCCGAAGTGAACACCAACTCCATCCTGCAGGAGTTTTGGTGTTACAGCAACCTCTAGGCCCTGAACCATCGGTATAGAAGTTGCCTGTCTTAGATGGCGGTGTGGTCTGTGGGAGCTGGGCTGTTGGGGTTGGGTCAAGGTGTTATTCTAGAAGGGAATTGTAAAGAGTCTGGAGTGCAGGTGTAAGGGTCTTGAAGTTGACAGGAGGGCCCGGGAAACCGTAGCTCGGCACCTGTGCTGGCGAAGATATCCTCTGCAGCCCTGAAGCACAAGGAAGCGAGCCTACCAACATCCACCAACAAGACTAATCTGTAAGGGGCTGTAAAGCCATTCGAGCCCCAAAAAATTCATCCGCACACTAAACCATGCAGTCAATACGGACCAAGAGTAGTACTAGTAATGATAAGCAGAAGGAGACTTGACTAGTCGAGCTGGTGCCGTCCGCAAATATTCGACAGCTAAGAACAAAAAGCCAGCGGCGGGCTGGTGTAGGCGAGCAGTTGTGTTCTTCTGAAATTTGTTGGTTTCAGTAAGAAGAATGTTCCATTGCAACTTTGAACTGAAGCTTTGAGGTGCAACTCATGCGTGATCGACGCAGTCTGACACTGTTGCCGTGCACCAGCTTTGCGCGCTTTCTCGGTCATGAGGGCAGTGACGTCCCACGATTGAGCATCACTGCCGCAAGCCACTCAAGTAACCCTTCTGCAAACCCTCTGAGGACCTTACCTTGCCGCAAAGGCAGCTCTGGATTCGACGATCGGCTCTCCGACGGCCTCACTCCACCTGCTATGTTGCTTCAGTTCCCACGATCTGTCTGTCACGCTTTTTGGGTTTCTGTGCAGAAAGGCTACAAGTTGAAGTAAGAACAACACACACTGAGTAAAACATGACTATCACAATGGACACGACAATACCGACCGACACAGCCAGCAGGAATGACACCAGTGGCCCCAAGTTTTTTTCAGCGTAGTTCTGCTACCAGAGTCTCAAGGCCTGCTGCGGGTCCTGCTCCTGTGCGGTCGTGCGGATGCCCACCACCTGGAAACTCAGTTCTCTTGCACTCGCGCTCAGATCAACCTCCAGGACAGACACTCAAGCCATGACGGCATGTGCTGGCTTCCCTCGAACTTTTGGGCAGGAGGCTTCAACTAGCACCTATGACCAAGGCCGTTTTGGATGCTAGGATTGGAGGTTTTTGGGTTCGACGATCTGCTGTCCGACTGCCTCACTCCGCCAAATCGCTTCAAATCCCACGAGCTGTCGATCACGGTATGCCCGACACTCCTACACCCTAAAACGCTGGAAAACTGAAAACAACAAATCCGAAAAGACTAGAATCCAAGTCACCAAGTCAATAGGATTCGATGGGATTCGCCTTCGGTTGGCTGGAGCG